CATATTATAACAACAAATATATTTCGACTAATAGAATTTAGAGGTGCGTGCATAAAAACCGATCGTTCCGTTGAAATACGAAGTAAAACAGGCGAAAGACGAAGAACTTCGGCCCTCTGCTACCCTCTGAAGGGCATCAGCTCGCTACGTCCCTATGCGCTTCGCAGTGTCGTCTCGCGGTGGCGCGTTTGATCCGCGTAGTGGCCCAGCAAGTGTTTCCCCGAACATGGCGGACGGTGCTCGTTCGAATTTCCATGGGACACAATGAACGTGCGTCGAGTTCGCCGCGGTGATGCCGATAACTGAGGGCGTGTAGTGATCGTACAGCTGGCCTACGTGGGTGCCGTGGGTGCGTCGTCGTGTTCGGCGCGGCAGCGCAATACGGAGGCAGCGGAGCCAGGCTTTTGCCGCCGTCGTCGCCGCCGCCGCCGCGAGTGCGCCGAGGGAGCGAGCGAGCGAGCGAGAGCGAGAGCCGACCGTGGCGGGGGCCCCCCCATGGTTGTTGTCGTTAGACGTCGTCCGAGCAGAGCTGGAAGATGAGGTCCACACGTAGCAGCGCGTGATTCCACGGCCGAGGTACGCTGAGGTACGACGAGCGGCTCGGACACTGGATCCGACACGATACCACCCGACCCGACTCGACTCAACTCGACTCGACTCAACTCGACTCGACTTGGAGCCGCGCGGCACCGGGTCGAGTACGAGTTTATTTACGACGCCGCGGCGTCCAGGACGCGCGCGGCCCGTCACCCACGAGCCTCCGCGGGGCATCGTCCCCGGCGATGGAAGCCGGAGCAGCCTCGGGGGTTGACGATCTCTACGCTTCTCTTTCTTTTTCTTTCTCGTTTCCTCTCTCCTTCTTTTCCTTTCGTTCCTCTTGTTTCCATCCGTGCCCGCGCTGTCCTCGTCCGTCGTTGATTGATCGGGGACTGACGCGGGGATCGCTCGCGTGGAGAAGCACGGTTCGCGCGTCGAGGAGCGAGGAAACGCGGTGCGACTTACCGCCGAACGCGATTCCCCGCTGGCGCGACGCATCCGTAAACGTTGCACCCATCGCGCCAACGACTCCGTGCAGCATCGCGGCGCTCTCTCCTTCGGCGACGAGAGTGAATGCGCCGAACTTTGTTTTTTTTTTTTTTTTTTTTTTTTCCTTTTAATGAGATGCCGATCATATGGTCGCGCGACCGCGTTCCCATGCGTCGAATTGTGTAACGTGTACTCTCGTCGCAGGTGGCGACGGACGGTACGGTATGGCGAATTGCGATTTTTCTCGTACTTTCGGACGGCGACGCGAGACTTCTCGGTCGGCTCGGACGTTACCTGAGCCTGAACGTCATTACTGATATCCTGGATCGAATCGCTGTTAATTACCTTCAAAAACTTTCCGTCGTAGGTTTATGCGAACGTTCACGATAATCTGTCTATTTACGTACGATTTTAGCAACATTGTATATGTAAAATTGTAGTTAAATGATTTAGCGTGTAATAACAAGTTACTAACCAAGAATATCTTGGTTCTCTGTCCCTTTTTCTATCATATGTAAAGAAAGATTGCAAATTCTCTAACTTCTCGTTCTATCGCATGGTGTAATTAATTAATGGTGTGCAAAAAATTTGAAAGAGAAATTAAATTATGAGAGTTACATTTAACAATAATCTTTTATATACTCCCTTATATATTTATCTTATATATTTATTTACGTTATTCAAAGTTTTTACTCCATAACAGATAGAGGTTAATGTTACATGTAAAAAATTATTTGTAAGACATATCTGAGTTTCCATGTGCTATACTTGTGACTCAATTTTTAATGAAGTTTGTTCTTTCTAACTGAACTTTTTACTTGATTCATCTTTCTTCTTTTTTTCGTCGTGTTGAAAAAAAAAAGAAGACAGATGAATGACAAAAAATTCAACAACAGTTCTGTTAAGATATGTTTGGTTAGTTTGGTCGGTTTCTATTATAGTTGTATTTGTGATTTAGAAACAGGGTAGAAAATGTCAGAACCTGAGGAAAGTTTAGCAGCGCCCGATAGTACCACAAGGGAACAGCGGGTTGGCTTTTCCCATGGAGATGATGTTCTTCAACATAGAGATGGCAAATATTACCTTGGTACAGTTGTCGAGGTACGAATTAGATCTGAGCTCCTTTTTAGTGGTGCTTGAAATAGATGATGATATTAAAATGATTTTTGCATATAGGTGGACTTGGCAAGGGAGAGATGTCTTGTCAAATTTCTGGACAACACATCTTCCTGGTCGTCGTTTAAAGAGCTGACCAAATTGGCTATGCCAGACTCGGATGTTATGTGTGTTCTTTGCAAAAAATCTCAGCCTAAGACTGACAATGACATTATTGTCTGCGACAAATGTGGCCGTGGCTATCACCAGATGTGTCATCAGGTAAATACAAACCTCTTCAATGATTGAAATTACAGAAATTAGTTGAATTATTAATTAAAAGCTAATGGAAATATGATTTAATAAATGAATAATATATGTATCTGCAGCCTGAAATACCAAAATCGGAGCCAGGTAAAGATATTCACTGGATATGTAAAAGATGCATAGACAGCCAGCCACGTACACGTGAATCTTGCGAACCAAAAAATTCTATGGTGAAAGCAAGCATCAGGAAAGTTTGCAGCGGTAGGGACCAACCTCAACCACCACCAGATGATATGACAAAATTGCCATATGATGTAAGGATTTATATTTTTAATCAAATAGTTTATATATAATTCTTCTGTACATTTAAAAGATAATGTCTAAATATATTTTGAATATATAAAAGTAAATCTCTACATATGATGCTTTTATTATATTTAACACGTATTATTTATTATAACATATAATTTCAGCCTGATATGCTAAATTGGGATGCACATCACAGAGTAAACGCTGAACAAATTTATTGTTATTGTGGACTTAATGGTGAATGGTATGCACAGATGTTACAATGCGGTCGTTGTAAGCAATGGTTTCATGAAAAGTGCATCAGGTGCTTGACTTATCCTTTGTACAGTGGAGATAGGTAAGTACAATTATGAAAATGGTAAAAATTTGATTGAATTCAATTCGGATATAAATATCTCTTTATGCAATTTGGTATAGTTAAATCGTTAATAATTGTTTCAGATTTTATGTATTTGTTTGTTCAATGTGCAATCATGGAAAAGAATTTGTTCGGCGTTTAGAAATGAAGTGGGTAGATCTGGTGCACCTGATGTTGTACAATCTGACTGTTTATAATGCTAAAAAATATTACGATTTGGACACTGTTATTATACCTTATGCAAATGACAACTGGTTGACCCTACAGCTTCCACCAAGAGTAAGAACCTTCAGCATTTAGAATGCATTATATAAAAGAAATTACTTTAATTTATAATACTTATAATATTTTAAAATCATATTTGATAATGTTTATAATAATATTGTATTTATATTTAGATCAAAGATGTCACTGCTGAAGTACGCAGACAATCAATATTAGCAGTCTTGACAAACAATAGAAGCAGGTTCAAATGTGGTAAAGAGATAAAGAAGCGTACTACAATATGGGGCCTCCGTGTCAGACTGCCACCACCTTCTCCATTTGTCAATCTTCCTGCGTCCGGTGAAATAGATGACTCTGTATTACGTAGATGTTGGGCTGCTAATAAAAGACTGCAATATCTTCCTCCACCAACAGGGTCAGTACAATGTACATATCATATATATAAAAAACATATTAATTTTTAGGACACATGTATTAATGTTTATACAGAGTGATTCAAAATAATACATATATCCTTCAAGGGACATATTTCTAATCGTATTCTGAGCCAAAGGAAAAGTCGTCTCAGAAAAAGTCGTCTTGAAGGACATATGGGTTATTTCGGATCATCTTGTATAATATATAAATTTTAATTATTTCAGTCCGGTGAGTTTACCAGAAAGTACAAAACAATTGATTGCATTGAAGCAAAAGACGGCTGAAGATATAGAAATTCCTGTAAGTCCTACACATCTAGTAATGCGAGGTACACTTTATCAAAATTCAGAAGCAGAACAAAGTTCGTGTCCAAGTCCACCTCTATTAACGGAATCCAGTCCATCAATAGAATCTTTAAGAAACAGGTACATTATTTTTTGTGTAATTGTTTATTCATTGAACTGTTTTTTTATACTAATATTTAATATATTAAGATAATAATTTGTTAAATTATTAGCGTTATTTTCTTATATTTTAAGATCTTATCAGATTAAATTATTCTTACAGATATTGCAATATAGGTGGCGGTTTTGTAAAAAAGTCATTCCCATTTCCTAAGTTGAGTGTACAAAAAAGAATTCGACGTCTGTTAGCGCTAGGCAATTCACGGAAAAGAATGTTACGCAAGCAAAAGAAAAGAGAAAAGGCATGTGGAGATAGCACCAAGGAAAAATCACTAGAAGACCGAGAAGCAAGATACAGAAAAGCAAGAATATTACTGAAAAATGCCATTGCCAAGGTTAAAGAAAGAAAGGTAAGATCATTTCACATTCATATAAATAAAAAAAATCAAAAACAAGAGATTGATAAAAAACAAGAAGAAAAAAAAATGTAAAAAACAAGAGATGTAAAGAACAAGATTGATCATTATCATATTTTTAATTGTGTGGAATATAAGAGTCATGAATGATGTCATTGTTTTCTTTTCTAATTAATGCAGTGCAAACCACAGAGTTCGGAAGCATCCGATTTACCCCCGACACCTCCAACTTCCGTTTCTGGACCTCCGACACCACCAGCTGCAACATCAGGCATGTCCGAATTGTCCGTACCTAGTTCCGTAGATTTGATGCATCCTCTACCACCCTCAACGCCTGCGGACACAAGCGGAGACGAGACCAGCTCAAGAGGAACTCTCGATTCTTTTATTCCGCCACCCAAAGATTTTGAAGGAAAAAATAATCCATTCAGTGATCTGGTGGGCACGCCCTGTAGTCTTAATCAAGCAAATTCGAGTACGCCGTTACCTTATAATCAGTGTCCCATCACCTTGCCTCTACCACTAACACCTGTGATCTCGCAACCGCCGGTGGTGCGTCCAGCCAAGAGACAGCTATCGGAAAAGGATATTATCGTTGACAGAAACGGTCAAGTAAAACGTAGAAGGCAACATCGACGAGGACGTCCACCTACACAGCAAGTCCAGCAACAATTTCAGCATACCGCCAGCAAGACAGCGGCTATTCTACCGGCTCGTATTAATGAAGTTAAAAGTGAATTTGCCAGGAATTTAAGAAGTTCATTTAATGGTGCCTCGAGCAGTGCGAATAGTCAAATTGGAAATTGTGTGGATTATGCCTTAAATGGTAGGAGGTTAAGACAGCGACAAAGTAACGATAAATTACCTCCTCCCGATCCGCAACCGCAAAGAAAAAGCAGCATGTCTTCATCTCCAAAGTGTTCGCCTGTAAAGCAAAGTGCGCCCGACATATCTCTGGATGACTTGAAATCATCGGTGAATATTTACTTCGGTGCAGCTAATAGAATAGCTGCTGGTGAAAAGTTTATCATCAGAGCGAAGAGGATAGGACCAAACGGTCAATCACAATACCTCATCGAATGGGAAGGACTCAATACTTAACGGTAAATAATCCGCTTACTACGAATATATTGCAATCGTATATAAATTTTAAGTTAAAACCAAGCGTAAGATGGCGATCACCTTGTCGGCATCTTATAATCAATTCTCTCAATTTGCTTTTACAGCAAAATGATTGTGATCGATTGTTTTGCGTTACATGCACTGCCACTTGTTACGTACATTTCATTAAAATGTATGTATTTATCGGCGTAGAATATGTGAATGTTCTTGTAAACGTAAATCTCTTATTTTATCGAATTATTAATTTTAATTAATTAAAATCAGTCGAATTTTTTAATCGGTTTTACGAAAAATTTTTATGCCCGATAGATATCATTGTTGATTTTACACCGCATGCAAAATAATGGACGAGATTTTTTAATTCATTAATTAATCCATCGCATGAAGCACAAATACAGCAAAGAATTCTTTTATTCATTAATGAAATAAATCGATGTGTTCTTATTTACAGCACTGAAATCATCACATATCCATCAAATCCATCGACTCATTTTGCCGATGGACTGATGAACTTTTCTGATTGTATATTTCCTAATCTAAAATATTAATTATTGTTACCGGTATTGTGTATAATTATTTTGATACACATAGAAACAATACAATATTATAATTTGACTTAAAAAACGTATAAAGAGATGAATCTTCTGAATCTTCTTATGATATTTCATTTTTAATTATTTTCAATCAATAATAATGACAGATTGTTATTAATTAAACACATATGTAAAACATAGAAATTGATTTATTAAAAATAGCCATTGGGATATAGATTTTGAAGAAATGATTTGAAATTGATAATCTGAAATTTCAATTATCTTTTAAATGTACTCTGATTTAAATACAAAAAGTGCAAAATTAGTATTAGAAATTATAAATATTTTATTTGGTACATGTAAATGTAAATGTAAATTTTGTATGTCCAAAATTTAATTCAAACTTGAACAAAATCCCAAAAGAAGGGGGGAGGCAAATAAGATGCACATCAATCTCAATTGAAAAAGCAGTCTTACTAATTATATGATATCAATTTTATTAACTATCTTATTATACTATTGTATCTTATTTATTATGGATAAATTTTATTAACTATATGAATTATTATTATTATTTGTCCTCAAATTCTTTTTAAAAATAAGTCAAACATCTATCAGAGATGCTATATTGTTATCTGTCTAATGAAAATGCGGTGAATTTATGTTGAATTAAAAAACTCGTTCATTTATTTGTTGACTAATATGTTTCAGATTATATTAGAAAGCCATCTTTTTATATTTATTTATTTTTAATCATAAAGAAAGTATACGATCTATGTATCTTACTATGTCGGTACAATGAAACGTATATAACATAGATATAATACGCCAAATCCTTGCTTGGAAAAGAAACGTTTGCAAGAACAATCGGATGTATTGCTTATCAATTGTAAATAGTGTAGCATAGTAGACTTGCGGAAGTATCGATGATGTAGGCCATGCGAAAAGGAAATTTCGTGTGACTTACATTAACTGCAGAAAGATTGGCCAATTGTCTCTAAATATCAACTATGTGAGAAAGAGTATGATAACAGAAAGTAAATTGAACCAAACACGGTTCTCTTATGGACTTATACTGACTTATACTGACGTACTAGCGAATTAATGATTAGTAATGAAAAGTAAAACAAAGCAGACATCCTGAAAAGATTTGTTATTTTCCAATACATTTCCTAGAAATAATCGGTAGCTTCTGTGTCTTCATTGTCTTGTATTATATTTTATTTATCTCTGTAGATGACAATACAATGCGAATCAAAATTTCTCGTGAAACAAACTTGTATCGTGTAATTTTATATTCACAAATCAGTTTACATACAAATATATTGAATACATTTAAAAATACATTTAAATACATTTGAATACATTTAAAATGTAGTTACGTTACTGCAATATTTTTCATACAAATCAGACTCAAATCGTCAATGTACTCGAGACGATGAAGGTGCAGATTTAGCATTGCTCACTATTATACAAGACTAAGGGAAGTCGGCACACCTTTCGCGTACCATTTGAAATTAAACGAACGATGCGCACTGACTATGTAAGTAATTGGCCAAGTTATCTGTGCAAAAAATAAACGCCGTAAGTTTTGACTACTCAAAACTGTGTTATCAAACACACAAAATACATGAGCTCGTTATCGTGTAATTATGCACTGTAAAAACGATCTTTACGCATTAAATAACTAGAAGCTAAATTACAATTGTACATAAATAGGTTGATATCGAAACTGTAATGTGTAATGCAGTCTAGATACGGTAGTCAGTAAATGTAATGGTGTCACAAATTATCTTACAATAATTTTTGATACAGATTATTTTATACAACTCTGGACCCTGCTGGGGGATTATTATGTAAGAAGCATTTTGTACCTCTCAAACTGCACAGAATCTATGGTCACGACTTACTAATCAGAAAATATAAGCAACTATAAGCGGTATAATATAATAGACGTTGCAGTAATAGTCATTATTAGAGTCTCAAATCAAAAGAGCTTATTAGAAGAATGAACTGAAGCGTTTCGTTTTCGGTCTATGAGAAATTATGCTTTTGCAATCAAACTTTATTTCCTGCTTTACAGATGCACACGCATTGCTAACGAGAAACTAACGTACAACTTCTTGTGTTTTATATTTCTCATTTTTTTTTCCATCAATATGAAAAATTTGTCGGAAACGAAAATTTTAGAGCAATCTTTTATACACGATTGTAATATTTTAGAAGTGCATTTACATTTTTTAATTGATTCTCATCGAAGTTAGTTTAAATTCGCTTAATATCATCTTAGATAAATTCATTTCGAGTTTCTCAATAAGTTATATACAAATTTATTAAGAAGACTCATGCTCGAATTAACATTATAAAACTATTCATCTCCGTATTATTTATTTAATAGAATACAGCAGCTTTTGCGTTTTAGTTTCTTGGAAGATGCAATCAAGCAATCTGAGGCCACCTGTGGTATGAAATGAGAGATTTTTTTACAAATTATCTTTTTTATTATAATCGTAGGATCTTAAGTGAGTCAAACGAGTGTGTCAAAATCTTCGAATCTTCCTTTCCTTAATCTTCGAACAAATAATTTTTGTAAAATATAAAATGTATAATAGTTCCATCCCCGCTCTCTAAACTACTATTACTTAAAATATACAATAAATAGTCAATTTCACAATTCTTTCGACGAATCATGCTCTATATAAGTATCTTTCGCGTTACTCGCAATGCGCAATATTCAACGATATTACTTAAAGACTTTCGATAAACTGATAAACTGTATAACAAGATAAGCTGCATGTTCCTTACATAGTTATAACAATTTCAAGAATATCTTTTTGATTCTCTCTCTCTCTCTCATACCACAGCACACTCTACTGACATCTTTTTCTCTAGAGTGATATGTAGGTAATATTGGACGAAGACAAGAAATGGACACTGCCAAATTTCTAAGTTATATTTAATAAGTGTTTGACAACGTGTCGGACAAACGTTGCGCTACGATATATATAATGGCGTTTAATTAAACGGAATTGCGATTCATACTTATCCTTGCGCATTATTTCACAATTTCGCGAAGAAATGTTGCTAACTCACAATGAGATTTGCGTCGTGTGTTTTGCATCAAATGAGCAAGTCTCATCAACGTGAAATAAAGCGTGAACTTTAGCGTTTCCCGCGTTCAATGTAAGAGATGGCATAGGGGAAGCAAAAACTCAAATAACTTATCGAATTATATAAAAAAAAAATCGAAGAAGCATATAAGTCCGATACACTTTTATACAATGTGATTTCTAATTGCACGATACATGTAGGGCTGAGAAATCTATAGTAACGCATACAACGATATAAAACGCAAAAGAAGGAAGAAATAAACGTAAATTATTTAGGTTTATCTTTCAAGTTGTGAAGTCCGTAGAAACCACGAGATTGTGAAAATGTGTGCGCTATTGCACTCCTTGACCCTGACCTGGTATTTATTAATACCTTGTCTTTCTTGCAATGAAGTCAGTCTATTAGGAATTATATCTATTTGATTATATCTATTTGAATGTCTATTATGATATGTATATCTGAAGTGATGCAATGGATAAGTATAAATATCCGAGCAACAATTTTATCATAAAAGAGAAACCATCTGATATATGATATCGTTGATGATTAATACAAATTATATTTTTTTATCGTTTATATTGAGGTTCCAGTTCGTTTATATCGAAAATATTGATGCGTATTATTAACTTACACCAGCTGAATCTGAATTCAGCTGAGCGTTTTAGCGGGAAGAAACTTTGAGCATTTTCTTTTCTTTCAATTTATTTGTCATGTTTATAAAAACATTAAATAATTCCTATATAATTTGCGTTCGTGGAATCCTTCCTTGTCGTTTTATTTCTAGATTTATTATCTGAGGAATATTGCTGCGTAATAACATTCATGTTGTACCGTTTGTTATTTATAAAAATGTTCCTCCTTTCGAAGCATATGAGAAGTTGCGTTTTTCGCGTTGGCGAGTTTTCGATTCTCCCATGGCCATCTCCGCCGTTTTTAAGCGATACTAAAGCGATGCGAGACAATTCCGTCGACGATCCGTTGCCGTTTCTTTCCTTTTATTCGTATGCTTAGATAGTAATAAACGAAGGACACTGCGTTGCACCACCGGTACGGTGGTGCGTTACTAATGATTTAAGACGATCGACCAACATCGCGTTTCCAATGTCGGGAGTATCATCTTCGTTAACGTTTTTTTTTTTTTTTTTTTATGTGACCTCACGTGCGACTTCTGCGTGTCTAGAAGAATTGATATTCGTAGATCATCGAGGCCCAAAGTCTGGATCTCTATCGCGCGTAAGAGATTGGGGAGAAGCCGTTAAAGTTAAAGTTGCGAATCAGTTCGTGCCGGCTCGCGCGAATTTTAATCGCCGCGGAGGAGCGGCCCGCACGTTCCGAGGAAGATGTTAATTGTCTAGATAATTAGCTATCGCGAGACCACAGCACAGTTTGGCCGCGCGACGAAGGGGAGATCGGTAAGAAGGCGAAAGTTTATACTGCCAGTAATCGTGTGTACATATTATAATGACTCCCACACATTCTCCCTCACCGTTCGCCCACCCAACTCTCCCTTTTTTAACGTATAAATATCCTACAGGTACGCATCCAGCATAGCGCATATAGTTGATATGTTTACATTACCGTTTGTATGGCGATTACAGAGCATGCGATAACGAGCTCGAGACAGGAAGCTCGGCGTGTTACTTCCAGAGCGGGAATCCACCGTTTTTTTTTTTTCTTCTTTTTTTTAGTGTTCTTCGTTATTCGAGATTTCAGTCGCGAGATGTGGTAATTGCGATATCTCGGCATAAATAAAATGCGTCCTCATCTGCGAGGAGAACCGCAGAATCGAGCGTTATACAAGCGTTACTTCGTTCGTGTAATCCAGAGATAATTTGTGTGATAATTGATCCCGATTTGGTCCTACGGCAGGTGTAGCCGAAATTGAAATCCTTGGAGAACGTTTGCGAGAACAAAAAATAATTTAATCGATGCGTTACATTAGCGAGCTGTTATTTGTAAATTTAGAGTAGTCTACGTTGTTGAATGAAATGTTCTTCAATTGGTCGGAGATGTGTCTGACACGACCAGTTCTAAAGAAAGTTTTGGCCACGTTTGAAACTTATTTCATATCGCGCGTTGTTTAAGGTAATTGCGAATTATTTCACCGTAATATTGTGACCAAGGGTGAGAGTCAACTTGAGTTGTCGATTGTACGCAATCATGATGCGAAAATGTTACTTTGCAGACACGCGAGAGTCATCGGTGCCCGGACGACGATTATATATATATATATATATATATATATATATATAGAGACCCCTTTGATATTTTATAAGACAACGCTAATTCAAGTATATCGGTTACTCAAATACATTCGCGTTCCGTTACAAAAGATTCTCTTATTTGCCAAAAGTATTGTATTCATCGACGTCGACAGTTCTGTTCACCTAGCGTTACATTCGATCGAGGCGAAAGAAGAGCGTGCCGATCGTTTCTGACGACGAACGGTTATTAGTTCGATGTAAGTGGAGCGTACGACGTCGCAAGTTTTTCGTACCAGCAACGTGTTCGTAATGAATTTTACCTTTTAGATAAATATACTTTTGACAATACCGTAATGTAAGAGTTCATTCTCGCGGGGAGGAGAGGTGTTCATGATTCCGTATGATTCTCACAACGAATGATCAATCGACAGCGTCCTCGTGCCAACGATGTTGGAAATCTCTACCATTCGAAGGAAGGAAAAGAAAAAGGAGAGAGAGAGGAGGAAGCTCGTCGCTCGCAGTTCAAAAATTTCTTTAGGCTATTATTTTAGGTAGTGAGCGATATTGCGGAGCTAGTAAATTTCAAAACTAAGCCTCGCCGAGCCGAGATCGATTCTGTAATCTACTATGCGGGGAGGCATGACTGTAAAACATGCGGGAAAGTAAGCGACGAAGAATGTGTTGTGCTCTGTGTGCGAATGCATTTAATTTGCTTGGTGTGCATGTGCGTGTGTGCATGTGCGTGCGTGTATGTATGTGTGTGTGTGTGTGTGTGTGTGTGTGCACGATAAACTCTAAAGAGAGGAACGAAGAGAGCGAAAGGGAGAGGGGGAACACGCGTGTTGAGTGATATTTCGCAATTAATAATTATTTGTCATCGCAGTGACGAGACGACGCGGAAACAAAACGAGATAAATTCTGTTTATCTCGAACTTCAGAATTCGATTGAAAAATATCACGGATTTCTCGGTTTCTTCTTCTTCTTCTTCTTCTTCTTCTCTTTTTTCCTCGCGCTCGTCGTTCGGCGACACGCGAAATCGGGGGGGGGGCGCATACGACAGGAAGACGTTCGGCCGTTTCGCCAAAATTCATGTGTGATAGAATCACTTATCTCCGCAGATCTCCAAATTTACGTTTCTGCGTATATTTTTCATCTTTAATGTTAATTCAGTAGTGAGCTCTGTATATACACCACCTGCGCTGCGTAATAGGAATATTGTGATTGTTGCTCTGGTCGAGACCCCTCTTAAAATCGATTTAAGGATTATCTGGATATCCTCGGGACAAGAACATGTCAAAGTTTTTTCATGTCGCTGAAAAAAAAAAAGACTTTCAATTATTCTTCATATTGTACATACATCCATCGCTATCGCTTCGGAAGTTGGTTTTCCCGAGGTAAACTGCCAGTTTATCCTGTTTTTGTGCAGGAATAACAGCAAGCTGTCAAGAGAAATAATCAAGTCCGTTGATTCTTCAATTAGCACGCAAAAAATTTGCGGAATTACTCTCCGTGATAACGTATAACGTACGTCGTTGTTTTTCTGTTATTAGTATTTAAAACAAAGAATCGACTATAAAAAGGGATCGACTAGAGTATTTTTATGTTTATAGTATGTGTGTATGTATGTGTGTGTGTGTATATATATATATATATATATATATATAAAATATTAAAATATTTCTGTATATATCAATTGATGTAGATTGTGTGTCCTAAATAAATATGTCTATAAAGCAAATATATATGTATGTGTAAATATACAATTTATATTTAACATGTACAATTTATAATTTTCTCAACAAGTAAATATTGTGATTATTTTGCAAATGCAATGCGATATTAAAATCTATGTAAGTAATTTGTTATATTTTTTTATAGAATGTACTAACAAAATGATAGATATTTTCAATAATTTATAATAAAGTTTTCCTACAATTATACTAGTAAGTAGACAATTAAGTCTTTCTTCATAATTTCAAAACATTGCCTTGTAATAGATAAGACAATATTTTTTTGACCTTCAGACACAATCTGATTAAATAATTGAGAGAGTCAATGCAATAGCGGGATGACCCTCAAGACCAGTTCAATAATGATACAGTATAGAAAGAGGAAATGATGTGTGTAATGTACGCGCGCGCGCGCGCGCGCGCGCGCGCGTGTGTGTGTGTGTGTGTGTGTGTGTGTGTGTGT